GTTATTGTTGTGTTTATCAGATGAAGCAGCAATCTGAATTTTTTTCTATCTTTGCTACTTTTCATACCATGGTTCACACACAATACTCTGCAATAATTAAATGTTTTCGGTGTGATTTGGGTAGGATTTATTGAAATATGATGGAACTATTCAACAGTCACAGACACATTATGGAGACAACATGTTCATTATTTTTATCTGCATCTGTTCCTAGCTCTTTTTGGGGAGAGACAGTTCTCACAATTGTTCACCCTATTAACCGAAGAATTTCTTCTATTATTACTTCGAGTGTTTCCCTTTTTAAAAGGTTATATGGTAAACCTCCTAATTACTTCTCATTACGTACATTTGGCTGCACTTGTCTTGTTCTTCTTCCTAAATCTGAATGAAATAAGTTATATGCTCGTTGTACTATGTGTGTTGTATGGATGTTATGACCCCGTTGTAAAAAGATTATATGTATTTAGACATGTGGTCTTCCTTGAGCATATTGCTTTCTTTTGAATTCCTTTCGCTGCCGACACATTTAGTAAAATTTGACCTGATTCATATTGATCATTTCCCTAATGATATTTTCGGTGATTCTTATATTTATGACATGTTCACTTCTGACATTCATTGTTCGCCTCAATCTTCCTCTTTCTCAATTGCACCTTCTCCGATTTCCACACTACAACACCTCCACCTTCACCTCATCCAGTTGTATCTCTACCAGCTTCTGATGATGTGGATCATCAATCTTTTCGCTATCCTAAATGCATTCGTAAGTGTCCTAATTGCCTTGGTTTTTCTTAAACTTGTTACTCCTATGATTATTGTTCATTTTTATACTCTATTCGCTCTTTTTGTAAGCTTACCTCCTATAAAGAGGTTCATTTTCCTCTATTGTTCATTCCGGTAATCATGATTCTACTATTTTTCTTCTTTTCACTTCCACTAGTCAGATTGTTCTTCTATTATATGCTGATGACATGATTATAATTGGAGACAATTATGGGGGTATCTCAATTTTGAAGGCTCATTTAAAGAAATAGTTTGAGATAAAAGATCTTGGTGTCCTTCATTGTTTTCTGGTCATTAAAATGACTTCGCCATCTAAGGGTTATCTTCTTTCTCACTCAAAGAATGCTGCTGATGTTACCCACAGGGCACAATTAACTGATTCTCGGACTGTTGAGACTCCTCTCGAGCTCAATATGCATTACACTTCTACTAATGGTGTCTTTTTTGCTGATCCTACGTTATACCAGATTCTTTTTGGTAACTTGATCTATCTCATTGTTACACAACCTGATATTTGCTTATTGTGTTCCTGTTGTAAGCCAGTTTGTCAACTCTCCGACTACAATTCACTGGGTTACAGTTCTCCATATTTTGCATTATCTTCGAGGCACTTTATATCGGAGTTTGTTGTTCTTTTTCACTTCTTTTTTGGAGTTTCATGCCTTTCTGATGCTGACTGAGTAGGTGATACCATGGATCGTAAATCCACTACTGATTTCTTTGTCTTTTTGACTGATTCCCTAATTTCTCGGAGAAGTAAGAAACATCTACTCTAACTTCTATGTATTGTGACAACAAAGTGTGTCATTCAAATTGCACAACACTCTATTTTCTATGAGCAGATTAAGCATATTGAGATTGATTGTCATTTTGTGTGCCACCATCTTCAATTTTGGACTATTTCCTTGCCTTTTGTTTCTTGTATTATGGAAGTGGTTGACTTTTTCATGACACAATACATTGTGTTTTCTTATTGACAAACTCTCAATGCTTCCTATTGCATCATGAGTTTGAGATGAGATGTTAAGATTGTATTTATATTTATGTTTATTTACTATTAAGGGTATTCTAGTCTTTCTCTTGTAGTAAGATTTTATATACAGTGTCTCTTGTACCAACCTAATTTTTAAAATTTTATGGAACCTTGGTGTAGTAGTTTTCTTTTCTCTCTTACTCTTCTTGGAATGTATTTTCTTTTTTTGCAAGTATAAGTTTTCATGTATAACAAAAATTAATGAAAAAACTCTCTCCACTTGGACCATCTTTTCACTGTGGGGATAGACAGAGTTTAAAGTGAGAAAAGAAAGGAAAAAGTATTAGGCAAAAAAATTACCTATTATTTGAGATGGAGTTAATATTGAAATCATGAGCATGAGCATACACCTTTCGACATCTTGCCGAAACAGCATCTCTGATACTTGCCATCTAGTTACATGATAAACTGACATTACAACTTTGTGCATTATCCTTTGTGAAATCCAATAGAGCAAGATGCATATCACAAAGAATCTTAGAATGTTAATAACTACCTTGGCATGCCCTAATTGAGATGATAACGTGCCATTGGCGATATTCTCTGACCATTCTAGACTATAATCATTAGCAAAAGATGGGTTACGTTGCCCACCAACAAAACTCTTTTCAGCCAAAAGCGAGTTCTCTGAAGACACCACTGGATTAAGGTCCACTTCTTTGACTTTCTTCACTTTATGTTCCTTGACCTGGCTTTGAAAACCACAAAATAAGCTAGCATAATTAGAGTAAAGGACTAAGTTAGCATAACTAGATTAAAGAACTAGTCAATCAAGGGTCTTAAATAAGTTAGAAAAACTAAGTGAAAGCTAATACATAAAGGTTCTTAGGAAGTGCATCCAGGGGGAACCTCCCATAGTGGACAGATAAATAAAAAAATTTACAAAACTTTACCACCAGCTCTTAGTTGGGCACTTTTGGTGCAATCCATATAATAGTCAAAACATAATTTACCCAACAATATTTTCTCCCGTTTCCATTTTATGTTTAGCTTTCCATTTATTTACATTTAAAAAATAAAAGAAGAAAAGTGGTAAAGAGTTTACAACAATCATGTTTGTTGTAAAGAATCTTAAAGTGTATGAAGAAGCCTCAATGGCTAGAGTAATGCACTATGAAAAATTGTACCTTCCACAGTTTTATCGTCTTGTCATTTGTTGACAGAATAAATAATGATCCATTGGGTGTTGTACACCATCTCACTTTGTTGATCTTCTCTTCAATTTCCAAGCTCTTCAAATAGTCAAACTATAGAAAATGTAATACCATCAGGATCTGCAATGCACACAGAACGCCCAAATATATGGAACATTTTTCTGGAAACAGGTAAACAAAAAAAAAAAAAAGGCAACCGAGGTACATATAGTCATCTTTACAGCACACCTCGGGCTCGTGACTCTGGAATTCAGTCTTGTATTGAAATTCAGGACACTTTCTCACCACAAAATCCGATTGTTCAAGCTCGTTTTGTGAATTGAACTCATTTATATCCTACAAGGCCAAGAAACAAGGACAAATAGACCATATTACACCTGGTTGATGAAACATTTTATAGAACTGCTAGCCTTACGAACATATTGAGTAAAAAGGATTCTAACAATTTTTTATGATAAAGATCTAAAGAAATAATACAAATCCATATCGTGTACCTTCCTCTCAAAAATTACAACACGCCCACCTCGATCTCCAACAGCGAGATAGTCACCGCTCTTCTCAAATTCGATTGCAGATATGACATCAACTATAAGAAATGTCAAAATTTGTGATGTCAATAACCAACGAAGAATGCCAAACAGTCCACCAAGACTAACCAAACTTGAACTTGAAAATGAGTATGACCTTCTGGGAAATTACGAAAAATATGCCAGTGTGCAACATCTTATAATAATTCTCCAAAACTGTATGAATCCTTATTTCGTAGTGTTCATTAGCAGCTACATCAGCATACATGAAAAGCTACGCAGAATTTAATAACTATAACTAGAATGTGAAGTGGGGGGAAGTTCATATTTGCAATAAACATAATTTTCAACACAGCAGCCCTTAAGAGACTGGGTGGAATAAGATGGCACAAATTTCTACAATTTAAAAACCAAAATATTCGGAATATGGTAGGATGGTAGCACAGCAGAAACATCAGCAATGGCATTCCTAGGAAGGGAGATAAATATAGGCAAGGGTATACTGATGAACATAATATCTCAGGTAGTAGTGGGAGGATTAAGAAGCAAATATCACTGCTGTCAGTTCTCATGTGAGGAATATAGTTTTCTGAAACTAGGTCGACTATTTCCGAAAATCTGGTCAGTTATTGTAAAATCTTCAGCTTCAAAGATATCATTGACATAATCATTCCAGACATTACTATGGGGCAACAATGTAACCTATCAAGAAGCATTTTTGAGAGAATGACTGGACTAGCTGAAATGGTTCCTACAGCCAAGACAACTTTAAGGTCATGTTGGAAATAGAGCAGGTCAACAAATTGTAGAGGATTGACTATACTAATGATATGAAAAATTGACGGCTGTGAAGCATATAACATGTCTTCAAATTCAAAGAGCAAAAAAATGCCAAATTTAGGTATGCCTTACGTCCATCACTCCAACCAACCTGGGTAAGCAGGAACCACTGGGTAATGGCCTTTTTATAAGAGGCAAAACGGATATTAAAAAAAATCAATTCAGAACTTAACTACGGAGAGAGAGATTTTGAAAAACAGAATTGCTGTCAACACAGAGATTCCACACACAACTTTCTAAGCAGAATGATTTGGTTCACTAGCATTCTTCATTCCAAAATAAAGTGTCATGGTATTTGAAAAAATACTACTGCTACACCATTCAATATGGCAATTCTTGCTAAAAAAATTGTTAGTGAAACATTAAATCAGAGTTTCCAAACAAGTTTCCATCATGAGTTGAATCGAATTGAAAGCCACGAGCAATTCTACTTCGGCTTTTGGTTTCACACAAGGTTTGTCATAACTAAATAAGTTGAATCAAATTCAAATTCAGCTTCCCTACTACTACACAAGAAATAGAATCATCATTACAAGCCATGAACCAACCAACACCAATACACCATTGCTCAACTCACCTCGAGTATCTCTCCAGAAAGGCTCCATAATTAGCAGAGCTCATAGCTTTTCATATAAAATTACATCTATGTATAATTGTATATACATGTGCCCGTATGTAGAAAGATACAGAGAGAGAATGAGAGAGAGAGAGAGATTACTGTCTTGGACGTCCTCTCCGGGACTTCGATCGCCGAAAACCTGCGAGAATTTCCACTGTGAAGTCGAAGGCGAAGAATCTGAGCTCAAAGTCATGGCTGCTTGTGAAACGCCAAGGTGGTGTTTCGAGCTCCAAAGGGCACCTTTATAGCATCTCCATCACAAACGCACACACGTAGAGAGAGAGATAGAGGAATTCTAGTTCGACAACGACACTCTGGGCGTCAAGCTTTTTCTCGGCCTTGCCATTATCTCATTCGATTTTCTCGGAAAAAATTTTGCCGGCTAACAATGTTAATTCTTTCTTTGTCCCTTTTTTTTTGGATAATTTCAATGTCGCCCACGAATATTTGGATTTATTATCCAATTAAACCCTAACCTCTCAATATTAACACGCTAGGGTGAACTCCACACAAAATAAGTTTTTTTTTTAGTGTGATTAAAACGTAATGTAGAGAGAGAGGGAGAAGAAAGAATTCTAGTTTGACAACGAGACTCTGGACAAAGAATTCTAGTTTGACACCGAGACTCTGGACATCATTCTTTTTTTCGGTCGTTTTATTATTCCATTCAACTTTTTCAAAAGCGAGAGAAAGAAATTATAGTTCAACATCGAGATTCTGAGTGTCATTTTTTTTCTTGGTCTTTTTGTTATCCCATTCGATTTTCCCCAAAATAGTTTAGAGTTGATAACAATGTTAATTCCTTCTTTGTCCTTTTTTATGGATCATTTCAATGTCACCCATGAATATTTGGGTTTATTATCCAATTAACTCCTAACCTCTCGATATTAACACATTAGGGTGAATCCCACACAAAAAAAGTTTTTTTAGTGTGATTAAAATGTAATGCATAGAGAGAAAGAGGGGAATTCTAATTTGACAACGAGACTCTGGACATCATTCTTTTTCTCAGCTTTTCTAGTATTCCATTCAATTTTTCTGAAAAAAAGTTTCCCAGTGCTAACAATGTTAATTCCTTCTTTGTCCTTTTTTTTTATGGATCATTTCAATGTCACCCACGAATATTAGGGTTTATTATCCAATTAACCTCTAACCTCTCAATATTAACACACTTGGGGGTGAACCCACATAAAACAAGTTTTTTTTAGTGTGATTAAAATGTAACACAAAGAGAGAGAGAAAGAGGTATTATAGTTCGACAATGAGACTATGGGTGTCATTCTTTTTCTCAGCCTTTCTATTATCTCATTTTATTTTTCCCGAAAAAAAGTTTCACGGTGGTAATAATATTAATTTCTTCTTTGTCCTTATTTTTTTTGAATCATTTCAATGTAACTTGATGAATATTTGGGTTTATTATCCAATTAACCTCTCAATATTTAACACACTAGGGTGAACCCCACACAAAATAAGTTTTTTTAGTATGATTAAAATATAACGCAGAGAGGGAAAGGGAGGAATTATGGTTTGACAACGACTCTGGGTATCATTCTTTTTCTTAGCCTTTCTATTATCCCATTCGACTTTCGAGGAAAAAGCTTCGTGGTGGTAATAATGTTAATTCCTTTTTTGTCTTTGTTTTTATTTTTGGATCATTTCAATGTAACCCATGAATATTTGGGTTTATTATACAATTAACCACTCAATATTAACACACTAGGGTGAACCCCACACAAAATAAGTTTTTTTAGTGTGATTAAAATGTTACGCAGGGAGACAAAGGGAGGAATTGTAGTTCGACAACGAGACTCTAGGCGTCATTCTTTTTTTCAGACTTTCTATTATCCCTGATGGGTCAGGTCCAAAGGCCCAACCCATGTTATAAGCTTGGTTCAAGCTAAATGCCCAATGTCAAGAGATCCAATTAGTCAAACCCAAAGGAGTCTACACCCGGATAATCTTATCAAGATCAAGGAGTTGTAGGGAAACATGCATGGTCATCCAAGAATCTCCTCTACCACCTTGGAATAAGGGTCATCCAAGAGTCTCTTCTATCACCTTGGAGTAAGGGTCATCCAAGAGTCTCCTGTACCACCTTGGAGTAAGGGTCATCCAAGAGTTTCTACGCCACCAAGGGAGCATCCAGGAGCCTCACCCTCGCAGCCTGTAGAGAGTTAACCTCCCTCATCCTTGAACAAGTCCTTTGGAGAGCACACCAACCGTCACACCTCGCCCGTTGAGAAGATGATAGGTCGCCTCCGCCAGATCAGCTACCTAATTACTATCAAATGGTCCTAAGTCATTATGACCGTCAGACTAGTCATACAATTACTATACCAAGCCACTATAAATTGTAAACTCCCCCAACACTTGGGGGGTATCAGACTTATTGGAGCGTAACTTTCTCTCTTCTCTCAAAGCCTGCGACTTTCTACTCCTAACACACCGAAGTTAATAAAATCAGCGGCAAACTTTGTCATTTAAAGTGGATGTAGGTCACGACTGAACCACTATAAACCTTGTCTTCTCTCTTCCTCTATTTTACTTAATTTTATATTGTTTAATTGACTAGTGGTGTGCAAACCGATTTTGTGCATCATCAGTTTGGCACCATCTGTGGGAACGACAGAATTTTCACCTAACCATTTTCCTTTTCTCAATCAAAGTCAATCACCACAAGAACCATGAGTCAGCAAGAAGACAGTCTAAGAGAGGAGGAGGTTGCTTCTCAACCAACCAATCCTGCCCCAAATGAGCAGTAGATGCTCGAGACCATGCAGCAACTTGCGGCCCAGAACTAACAGATCCTACAACTAATGCTCCTTAGGCGTCAAGGAGTTCTCCACATGGGCGCTCCTCATCTAGGAGGAGGAGCACAACCTGGACCTCAAGTCAGAGGAGCTCCACACCCTAGGCGTCAAGGAGCTCCCCACATGGGTGCTCCTTATCTGAGCGCCCCCTTTGGAGCCCCTTCAGGCGCCCCGCACAGGGGAGCTTCCCACAAGGGACCTCCACTTCCTCTTCCAGCTCCTTCTTTTTATGATGGAGACCTTCTTTTCTAAGAGAACGAGGGTGAAAACCAAAGCTTGAAGCATGAGAGCCATATCCATGGTAATTACAAGGGATCTCCTCCTAATCATTGGGACGAAAAAATTAAGGAGGTGCAGAATCAATTGGGTGATGTCTTCAACGCCATGAAGGCACGAGGACCCGAGATAGTGGATTACCTTGTAAGTTGAACCGACACACCTTTCAAACCTGACGTGACAAACTACCCACTCCCTCAAAAATTCAAGATGTCATCCGTCGAAACCTTTGATGGTACGAAGGATCCATTGGACCACCTTGAAACTTTTAAGACCTTTGATGCAACTGCACAACGTCCCTGACGAAATCATGTGCAGAGCGTTCCCAACCACCTTGAAAGGATCCGCTCGACAGTGGTTCGCCAAGATCACCCCCGCTTCCATCGGTTCATTTGCTGAGCTGAGCAGGTCCTTCGTGTTGCACTTTATTGGAAGACGCCGTCACCAGAAGCCTGTCACCCACCTGCTCAGCATAAAGCAGGACTGAGATGAGAGCCTGCGAAGCTATCTCACTCATTTTTATGAGGAGATCCTTCAGGTCGAAAAACCCGATGAAAAAGTCAGCATGACCGCCTTCTTAGGAGGCCTTCGGTCATCGAGCTTCCTTTTCTCCGTGATGAAACGCCCACCAAAGAACATGCCAGAACTATTGGCAAAACTTCAAAAATTTATGAATGCTGAGAAAATCAACAGGTCCAGACGAGGTGAATCATCTCACGGATCGCCAAAAGCTTAACCTGCCTCTACACTATTCTTAATATAGGTAATCTATCTCCAGCTTAGCGACTCTCTTAAGGGTCGCCAAAAAGTTTGGCCTACCTCTACACTGTTCTTAAACAGGTAGTCTATCTCCAGCTTAACGGCTTTCTCGAGGATCACCAAAAAGTTTGGCCTACCTCTACACTGTTCTTAAACAGGTAGTCTATCTACAGCTTAGCGGCTCTCTCAAGGGTCACCAAAAAGTTTGGTCTACCTCTACACTGTTCTTAAACAGGTAGTCTATCTCCAGCTTAGCGGCTCTCTCGAGGGTCACCAAAAAATTTGGCCTACCTCTACACTGTTCTTAAATATGGTAGTCTATCTCTAGCTTAACGACTCTCTCGAGAGTTGCCAAAAAGTTTGGCCTACCTCTACACTGTTCTTAAACAGGTAGTGTATCTCTAGCTTAATGACTCTCTCTAGGGTCACCAAAAAAGCTTGACCTCTGCACTGTTCTCAAACAAGCAGTCTATCTTCCGGCTTTCTCACGAGTTGCCAAAAAAGCTTGGCATCTGCTCTGCTCTCAACCAGGATCTTGAAACTTAGGTCGTCTGCAACCCAAGGGATTACCTTAGATTTAATGTCAACAATTGGAGCCTCATCCATCTAGCACTCAACACCTGAGACGTCTGGCCAGCGGTGCCAAGAAGTGTCTGACCCCCTCTGTCAGTGCTTGGAGGGGCGCCTAACCCTTTGTGCTCACCCAAAATGGTGTTCTATGGTGCATGCACACCAAGACCAGCCCTCTTTCCTCCTCTTTGCTCGCCTGGATTAGCAACTAAGGCATACCCATGCTCGTCCAAGATGCCAAGCACAGTAGGTTGCTCACCCAAGCGGCCCTGCACAGCAGGATGCTCGCCTAGCTGGTTCGCGCATACAACAACACCAAGGCGTCCATCGGTGCACTCCCCAGAGCTGCTCCACTCGCTCGAGGGCTCCGTGCTTGCCTGGGTGCCTTGCACCTGGGCCTCGACGCCTAATCCCTGACCAACAAAAGTGCTTGCTCAACACCTCTCCTTACAGCCTGCACCCAAGTCCTGCTCGCCCAAGGCATGATCGCCCAAGCTCTGCTCGCCTAAAGGACTGCCCAACACAGCAGGAGCCTCCCTGGTTTACTCGCCCAGATCAACAAGGTTGCCTAGATCGCCAGCCTCATAAGCAACCCGTTCACCTAAGGCCTCCGTTGCCTCGCTAACATGGGTGCCCAGCCCTCGCCTAGTAGCCAGTCCTACTAGCCATGCACCTCCATCTCTTCTCCAGGGGACAACACCAACATTTCCAAGTTGCACACCAAGATTTGGAGGCCTTAGCACATGATCTCCACCATTCAACATTGTTCGAAAAAACA